GCCGGTTGAGCTATAGGCGCCGAGCCAGGACTTGAGTCTTTATATCTCTAGATCAGCACAGCCTTGGGCACACAGCAGGTATTAAATAAATGTTTGCTGAATGAAGACAGTGTGGACTGTGACTTTGTAGTAAAGCTTCTCATTGTATTTGGTTTAAGACTCAGATGTCACAGCTTGTGATAATAAGGTAATAACCACATAACTTTCTATATGCAAGTCCCACACCCACCATACCATAATCCCCAGCCTACTCTTAGGTTGACTCTACTCCGCACAGCACGAAGGGGAGCTACAAACATTGTGACTTGCTCTTATTAATGTAGACAAAAACATTTAGATAATTTAGGTCCTTACATGGACTTATTAGAACTACCATGTTTCCCTGAAAATAAGACACTGTCTTATATTTATTTTTTCTCAAGAAGACACACGAGGGCTTATTTTCAGAGGATGCCTTATTTTTATTAAGTCTAATACAACAATCTACATGTATTCAAATACAGTTAAGTCATCTTCTTCTGGAACCTGACAGGGGGAGCCGACCTTGTTGGTGGGGCTGGTGCTAGTGATGTGTGAACTCCTTTCCCCTAGCCATTTGCACGTGCGCAAGAGGATGCCTGCCACAGCGGTTACCACACACGTACCCACGCAAGAGCAAATGGCTTGGAGAAAGAACCTATGGAGGTATTCCAGTCTTCCTCACCGCTCTGCATGGAAATGCATGGCCATATCTGCATAGCCACGCCCATCACTAGGTCTTATTATTGGAGGTAGGGCCTATATTTAACAAATGCATAGAAATCCTGCTAGGGCTTATTTTTGGCATAGGTCTTATTTTCAGGGAAACACGGTGTCTGATTTAGCTGTTGATACGACCAGAATTAACCAAGATAATTTACACCTGTTCTTTGGATATGACTGCATGAGTGTTTGCTTAATTTACAGACTAATAAAAACAGAGTTGCCTAGTGCTCAAACTTGGAAAAAAAGGAAAAGGAGGCTGTTGAGATTTGTGGGCTCTAAAAATGTCTTCTTCCCGGGGTGGTGCCTGTGGGTCAAAGGAGTAGGGTGCCGGCCCCATAAAACTGCAAAAAAAAAAAGTTTTCTTCCCACTTAAACTATTTTAATAACTATATCTGCTCTTCAAATACACTGGGAAACATGATCACTGCTCTTAGCCATGCAATATTGGCCATGATCTATAACTGCTCTTCTTAGCTGAGTTATGGGACAGGAACTATTTACTGCTCCTTTCACTACAAGAGTAACAACCCACCACACCCTAGTTCTCTTCTGGGGGGGTCTGTCAGCTGAAAATCCTAAGAAATTTCAGCCCACAGTAGGGTGGCAATCTCAACCAAATGGAGATCAATCTTTCTTATTCCTGTTCTATTACATCATCTTGACCCAATGTACATCTATTATGAATGAATGAAATGAAAAACACTCTTAAAGACAGCTGGACATGGGCAGCGCCTGTGGCTCAAAGGAGTACGGGGCTGGCCCCATATGTCAGAGGTGGTGGATTCAAAACCCAGGCCTGGCCAAAAAACTGCAAAAAAAAAAAAAAGACAGCTGAACATAAGATATAAATCAAGCAGGTTACCTAGAGTCACAGCTCCTACAACAAATCCTTGGGCAGCAACTCTCATGTGTATAAGATGAATAGACATTTTCTGATCTGTTTAACTTATAAAGACCTTAGGACACCACAGTCACAAATCCTGCTATACCTGTATAGCAGGTATAGGGTTAAATAAACAATAGGCAAGAATGCCCAAGTGCTTAAAAAGTTAAATGAAAGACTATCTAAAGCAGCAGTTCTCAACCTGTGGGTCACGACCCCTATTTATTTATTTATTTTTGAGAAAAGCCTCAAGCTGTCACCCTGGGTAGAGTACTATGGCATCACAGCTTACAGCAACCTCCAACTCCTGGGCTTAAGCGATTTTCTTGCTTCAGCCTCCCAAGTAGCTGGGACTACAGGTGCTCGCCACAACGCCCGCTATTTTTTGGTTGTAATTGTCATTGTTGTTTGGCAGGCCCAGGCTGGATTCAAACCTGCCAGCTCTGGTGTATGTGGCTGGCGTCTTAGCCGCTTGAGCTATAGGCGCTGAACCTGCGACCCCTTTTTAACAATGAAAATACATTGTGGCATTAGGAAGGTTGAGAACCACTGATCCAAAGGATAAATACCTGGATATAAGCAGGCAAGATAGCAAAGAAAATTTTATTTGTTTGTTTGTTTATTTACTTGGAGACTTACTCAGTTGCCCTGAGTGCTGTAGCAACATAGCTCACAGCAACCTCAGACTCTTGGGTTTGAGCAATCCTCTTGTCTCAGCCTTCCGAGTTGATGGCACTACAGGCTCCCACCACAGGGCCTGGCTGGTTTATCTATTTTTAGTGGAGAGTGGGGCGGGTGTGGAAGGGTGGGGTCTTGGTCTTACTCAGGCTGGTCTCAAACTCCTGAGCTCAAGCAATGCACGCACCTCAGCCTTCCAGAGTGCTGGGATTATAGGCATGAGCCACCACAAAGAAAAATTTTAAAAGAACAAAAAATAAATAATAAAGAAGATGGAATTTGTTTGAGATACTCAATAAAAGTATTTTGTAAATCATCTACATAAGACACCCCATCCTGTAACAGGAAATACATCAGAGACATTAAAATAACAATAACGCTTGGTGCCTGTGGCTCAAGTGGCTAAGGCACTAGCCACATACAACTAAGGTGGCGTGTTCGAATCCAGCCCAGGCCACCAAACAACAATGATGGCTGCAACCAAAAAATAGCTGGGCATTGTGGCAGGTGCCTGTGGTCCCAGCATTTGGGAGGCTGGGGCAGGAGAGTTGCTTGAGCCCAGGAGTTGGAGGTTGCCGTGAGCTGTGATGTTACGGCACTCTACCCAGAGGGATAGCTTGAAGCTCTGTCTCAAAAAATAAATAAATAAAAATAAAATAACAATAACATTATTCAAATAACTAGTTCATGATATAAATCCAAATTTTATCATTATTTATTTTCTAGCAAAAAGTTTGCTATCTTCCTTTGATCACATCAAAGTTCTGTTCTTACTTAAACTGGCTTTGTTTCTTTTAGAGATTAAAGTGAGGGCCTTTACTGTTTTTCTTTCTTTCTTTCTTTTTTTTTTTTAGAGACAGAGTCTCACTTTGTCACCCTCAGTAGAGTGCTGTGGCATGACAGCTCACAGCAACCTCCAGCTCCTGAGCTTAGGCGATTCTCTTGCCTCAGCTTCCTGCGTAGCTGGGAATACAGGCGCCTGCCACAATGCCTGGCTATTTTTGTTGTTATTGTTGTGGTTGTTGTTGCAGTTTGGCTGGGGCCGGGTTCGAACCCACCACCCTCAGTATATGGGTATGGCGCCCTACTCACTGAGCCATAGGTGCCGCCCAACCTTTACTGTTTTTCGTATAGTGTCTCTAGTTTGCATATAATTGAATTTAGCTGGAAACACTTTTATCTTTCTACTTTAATCACCCTAAATGTCTCTGGAAAAAATATAATTTAATGTGCCATAGGCACAGTGATTAATCTCTGTTCATTATAATGATTTGTTCAAGTAGCACTGAGTTCTTGAATTGTTTTTCTAGTTAAAAATGCTAAGGAAGATAAATCACTATTATTTGCTCCCCTTACTTATGGGTGCTATTACAAGTCTTAATCAAATTAAGTGAAACTTCTGGGTTTTTTTGAGAGAGAGAATGAGTCTCATTCTGTTGCCTAGAGTGGCCTGGAGTCAGCCTAGCTCACAGCAACCTCAAACTCCTCGGCTCAAGCGATTCTCCTGCCTCAGCCTCCTGAGTAGCTGGGACTATAGGTACTCACCAAGATATTAGGCTAATTTTTCTATTTTTAGTAGAGCCAGTGTTTTGCTCTTGCTCAGGCTGGTCTTGAACCTCTGACCTCAAGAGATCCTCTCACTTCGGCCTCCCAGTTGTGAGCCACTGTGCCTCGCCTAAATGAAACAATATTATTAAAAAGGAAAGGTTGGCTCTTTTTGATATGTGAATAATGATACTTAATAAGTTGCTAGAGTTGCAGTAACACTTAATGGAACATGACACACCTTTTAAAAAAAATTGTATGATTTAAGATTTGTATGATTTTAACAGTTTCCAGATAAAAGGTACACCAGAAAAGAGTCTTGACTGTAGTATACAATAAAAATGCTTAGGGCAGTTTAAGCATGTATGAAGAAGAAAGAGAAAGTTCAGATTTTAAGACATGATCCTGGTATTTAGATATCGTGGGGTTTTTTAAGTCCATGTACAGTACTTGTTGAAAATATGGTAAAAATGTGTGGGAAAAGTATCGAGTCTAAGGTTCCCGATCTAATTATAATACCACTTGTTCAGTACAGTGTTTACTTAACTATCAACTTCAAAATCTGGAACACACCAGAACCCAACATAAAGGGCCACTGAGCGGCCAAAATGACAACCACAAAGTTCATGGTCTCGTGCGCAGGTAGCCCAGGCTTTCACGCAGAGCTGTACCCTGAATGAACTCACAGTTCTTTCAAGCCTGGGTATCTAGCTGCTGATATAATTGAATGTTCTGTGCCTCAGAACATTAGAAGCAGAAATTTTTGATGGTGCCCAGTAGTACTGGAAGAAACAGAGAAATCTATAAACAGCAGACATAAGAACTTAGATGTTGGAACTACAAGAGAAAGACACATATGCCTCTATAATCCCTCACAGACTTTACGGGTAATAAAAACTGCTGCTGCTGCTAACCCTGAGTCATCACAGAAAAGTTAAAGTTCATTCACTCAATCCCATTTGATTGGCTGGGAACTAATAATTTTAGATAGACCTCTAACAAGCTGGATAAAACAATAAAATTCGATGCTTCAAATAATAGCTGGCATTTATCAGGGGCTTAGTGTGTACTAGAAACTATTCTGAAAGTTCAACTTATGCTTAGAGGAAGTTAGCTTTAATTATCTGAAAAAAATTCGATAATATGAAACATTTCAATCCTTGAAGATACTGGGTAAGCCATTATTGTGTTACTACATTTTTCTAGTAGCCAGTCAAGGCTTGTACTTACCCACAGGGACAAAAGGGGAGTCTTTGGATTTCCTGATCAGGAGGGATAGCTGGCCTTCATTCTCATCTGCTGACATTTTTCTCTCTGGTAACAACAGGTGATAAATGTGGTTGCTGAGAATCATTAAAACAAATTCATTTAGCCGCTCCCAACATGCTCTTTTTTTTTTTTT